AGCGCCAGCGCCTCATTTTAGAAACCAGAGCGCGAAGATCCCGGAGAGACGGGCCAAGCGCTCTTCACATGCCCAGAGAGCCCTCGCGCCTTCCTCCGCCCCGGCCCCAACAATCCCCTCCTTCGCAGCGGCGCCGCCCCCGGCGCTCCCGCTGAAGCTCACCCTTCCGCCATCTTGGCCACCTGACGTCACCAATATTTACTGACCTTTGACCCGCCCCTGAAGCCCCGCCCCTCCGAGGCGCAATCGCCGCTGCTTCCGGCACTTCCGTGACCTCCCGTAACTACAGAGACGTTTCCGGCTGCCTAGTTTGCCGCCCGATGTAAGAAAAGGAACCATAGAGAACGCTGAATAGAGGGGACGCCGCTCTTTGCATTCGAAGCAGAGGGAGCCCATCTTTTCTAGAAACTCCACATCCACGCTGTTTTTCGCCAAAGGTTTCCACCCGCCTCTCTAGCAGGAACCGGAAGCCCGCGCAGCGACCGGCTTCTTTCTTTGGAAGAGCTCGATCCTTTTTTCCGGTTCCGCCGGGAGCTGCGGTTACGGCAGCTGCAGAGGACCAAAACTGCTTGAAACTCGCTCAGGATTTTCTTTAGCTTTGGCGGTCTCCGGGACGGTAAAGGGTAGAGTGAGAAGGTGACACTCCCACCCCCACCACCCCCACGCGGAAAGGAAAAGGACCTGGAAATTTATGGAGATATAGAGCTGCCTTTCTGTAAGCTGGCGGCAGCGTGTCGGTAGTCCCCGGATGGGAGACCACAAAGAAACCCCAAGGCTGCGGGCTGGAAGGGAAGTCCAGAAAAAGGGAGTTTCCATACTGCAGCCAATAGGACGAGCTGTACTCAGAGAACTCTTTTAAAGCTGTGCTTCCTATATGACCCTGCCCCTTCTCACTGCATCCACCTTTGCAGCCCTCCCATTGGAACTCTCTTTCATTGCTTTTCAAAAGCCCTTGAAATGCTTCTTTTAACTATTGCTTTTATTCCTAAGAACGCTGGTTTTAAATTTTCTAACTAACCAGAACTAGGTGGTAACAGCTAGCAAACCCAGTTTGATCCAGCAAGATGCCAGCAGGGTAGGATTTAATTAATCCTTGGATGGGAGACCACCACGAAATCCCAGGGCTGAAAACCAGATGGGAGGTCAAAAAAATATCCCAGAAAAATGCATTTTGCCAAGTAGGGTTGCATCCATGAAGCCGCCCGGAAGCGGCTTCACCATTACTGAGACGGGTACATACCTTTCGAGTGAATCTGAAGATGTTGGCAGGCAGAGCTCATCGGTTCATACATCCAGCAGTTGTCTGGATCTTCAGAGCCTGTGTGTTAATATCTCCCTTTCTGGGAAACATCACAGCTTGTTTCAACCACACCAGACCTAAATCAGTGCTTAAGAGAAACATAGGGAGAAAACAGGATAATACGTTGTGCGTGTAGGCAGATACACCTGCTGTTTGGGGGTATTATGGAAAATGATAGCCCCTTGCCTGCTTACATCCTGCTTGAAGCCTATTGGTTATTCACATTTTTATTTTTCATTATCAAGCAATTCAGTAACAGTAGAAGGAAATCTTGTATAAAATGGAAACCATTCTTAAGTAATAACATTCGGGCATCAGCTTCTTTCTGACCTATAGTAAATTGAGTTAAAATATTGTTAGAGAACAGTACTGTAGAAGGAATAATATTCTCTACACATCTGTCAACTCTCATTTAATTCTTAGGGTTACTAGACTGGGAGTCCGCTCACCTGGATTCTTTCTGGAGTGTGTCTGGCGGGCAGCATTTGCAACACAGGACCGTGTTTGCCACATAAGATTATAGAGAAGGTCCAGCACCCTCCAGATGTGGGATTATTAGATTTCCATAAGTCTGGGTTTCCTCCAGCCATGTCCTTGCATTTCTGAGTAGCTCTTTAAATATCTAAAAATACCTGAATTATACCATTTTCAGTTTAAGTTCTTGATCTTGGCAGGCTGGCGGCGGTGATAGGATGATACTCCCTGGCATACTGTAGACAAGCAGACCCACAGCAGCAACATTTCAGTTCATCTGCTCCTGGCTGGAGATGGAGCAGGGCCAATACTCTGGGGCCTGCCCCAGTGCTTATGGATTGGGAGTAGAAATGACCAGCAGTATATAGTGGGATGCTGGCAATGAGGGGCACAGTGTAGCCGCAGGACTGCTTCTGAAGTCACAAGCCTGAAGTTGCTGATCCCAGTTAAGAGCTGTTCTGCTTTGCATGCTGGCTGGGGAATTCTGGGAGCTGAAGTCCAGGCAGCTTAAAGTAGCCAAGGTTGAGAAACACTGCCCTGGGGTAATAAACTGGGTTTTTTTATTTAGAACAATGGGCTCTTCCCTCAAGCTGTTCCTTGGCAAGATGGCGATGATAATGCTGACCTATTTTACAAAATGGCTGGAAGGATGAACGAGACCATGATTTGCGGCAGTAACGTCTGCTGTGATTGTCCTGCAAGCCTTGATTCCTTTGCCAAGGAGTATAAGATTATAAAGATTATAAACAAGGGTAGCTCGAAAACAAGTGTCGGGGTAGCAGCTGGAAGGGCCAGCTGGAGAGCCCCTCTGCCTATTCTGCTTCTTGGATCCCACCTGGGCTCCTTGGCAGGTACCCCAGAAAACCTCCATGCAGAGGCTGAGGGAGATTCCCAGCTGGAAAACGCGCCTTTGAACAAAGAGGCTCAGCTACTAAAGGCAATAAAATATACTGACTATGGGGTCGGAGACGCACATTCACAGATGGCTGTGGTCTGGACGTACAGAGCAGGCTCTTCCCTAATTCCACCTTTGGGGAGAAGGAGCCATTATTGGGAAAATAATTGTATACGAGAAGGGAGGGAGGCCGTGTTAAGCATATCTGTTTGCACACAGGCACAGCTTAGCCCCCTGCTAGAATAATTGGATCCGTCAACTCCGATGAAGCTGACTTTCGGGCAGTGCTGATTGGAACCAGATGGTGTGAATTCGTGGGATACTTTGCTAGTCAAGCGCATTTCCTCTGCAAATTCCCTCTGGGGGAAGGCTGGGAGGAGGAGAGAGGCTGGGAAGGGAGAAAGAAGCAGGAAGCTGCATCCTTCTCCAGAAATAGCGTTAGCCATCCCTGCGCACCAGAGCGGCCTTAATCAGGCAGGCAAAGGTCTTACAAAAATAGCACAAGGAGCAGAAAATAAGGGGAAGCCTTTGGCTGAAATGTGTCTGTTCCTTCATGAAGCGGGAGCATCGCCTTTCTCCCACAAACTGAGATCCACAAAGCAACAATTAACAGTGGACTATCATATCCCCATCAACGCCCCGCAGAAGCAGCCAAACAGCAATCAAAAGCAATTTAAAGGCACAGCAGGGGATTCCCTTGCCAATTGACTGAATTATCATCCACAAGACTTGAGGGAAACTCTCCTAATTTATGGGAGGGAAGAGGCCTCGAGTGAATTATGCCCAGAAGAATGTGTTGAAGTCGGGGTATCGTTCCAGAATAAGTCTCCGCAGGCAATCCCGTGGAGAGACAGGCCAAGGTTTACAAATGCCCACTTCACAGTCATCTGAAATCATTTCAAGAACAGCTGAGTTGCGAGCCTCTTGTGAGCAGCGGCTGGAAAGCTGGGACCAGAGATAGGGATGGGTTTATTTGTTGCATTACACCCCCCAGGAACGTCTGCAGGTGTCATCGAAGAAAGTCAAGATGGTGGTGGTGAGGGTGCAACTGAAGTTCTGCCTGTTTTCCAGATAAGAAAAGATGGAGCTTTAATTGCCCCATTGTGGGTGCCATCTTGACTTTTTCGACTGCACTCTAGGGCAGTGCTTCTCAACCTTGGCAACTTTAAGATGGGTGGACTTCAACTCCCAGAATTCCCCA